TGGAGACGTGTATGTTTGTGTACCAGTGCTGGCTAGTACACATCCGGGCCAGGAGCCCCTTTACTGGCTGAGCTGGTGAGCTGCTCTCTCACCCTTTATTGTTTGATGTATAAATCCTGCTTTAACTTTCCATTTCAGGTTATCAGAGGCAGCTGAATTACAAGCACCTGGATGGCTCTTACAGCACATTTGGGGAGCATTACAGGCAGCCGGGGAATACCTGGTGAGATTTCTTGCCAGTCACGCCTCCCCTAAACCTCCTCTGTTATATAGTTATAAAGGAAGTGTTAAATTTTAGTCAACTGGTGATGCTGTTAAAGGCCCGAGGGCTTGCTGGAGCTTTCACAGTCTCTTGGCATATCACACCAAAGGGAATAGGTTTCATCAGCCTGCTGTGTATAAAAAGCACCTGTTCCCACTGGCCTTGAGGAGAGAGAGAACTGAAGAGGCAAAGGGGATGGGATGGTTTCAGATCATTTTTGAAAAGAGATGAAGAGATCCAGGGGAGGCTGTTCCAGACAGGGAGCTGCAGAGGGGAGACTCTCATACCCGTAGTGGTGAAACTGGGTTAGAGGTAGAGAGCAACCTGGTGCTAGATAGGACCATAGGAATTGCTATGCTATCGATCGCCCATTATCAAGATCATTAATAGGTATATTAAACAACACCAGTCCTAGTACTGAACCTCGCAGCACCCCACTGTTAGCCTTGTGCTATGATGGAATTGATCATTTAATTCTAGTCTTTGTTTTCTGTCCCTGAACCAATTTCTGATCCACGACAACACTTTGACCCTCATCCCATGATTATTCAATTCATTTAGACTTTCCAAAAGGCTTTCGAGAAGGTCTGTCATAAGAGACTACTGAAGAAATTATGTCAATCAATTCTCTTTCATTCAGCTCTTTATTGACATGTTCAGGGAATTCTAAGAGATTAGTGAGACACAATTTTCCTTTGCAGAAGCCATGCTGCTTAGACCCCATCAGATCATGATCTTCTGAATCTTTTATTATGCTATTTTTAATTGTCATTTTGACTAGTTTACTAAGTACAGGCAAACTGGTGTATAACTCCTTGGAACTCCCATGGAGCCCTGTTTAAATATAGATTCAACATTTGCAACCCTCCGGCCCTCTGCTATAAGAGCTGTATTTAGCATGAAGAGGGCTCCTAAGTTTGAGAGACTGGTTGTGTCCAGGGAGGATTTTATAAACAGGAAGAGAGAGTTTGAACTGGATCCTGAAATCAGTGTGAAGGAGACTGTGGAGGTGGGTGAAGGTGGAGGCAGTGTATTCATGCTCTCTGCCCCATGGCCACCAGCTCTCTGGCCCCTGCTGCTTCCCCTCAGGCTGGCGATGCCCCAGGACCCCGTCCCCTCCAGCGAGCACAGGGCATGGGAGGGAGCTCTCACCGCTGTCCGCACTCTGTCGCAGGCTGACGGCCTTCGTCCTCAAGTCCTTCGCGCAGGCCCGCTCTCACATCTTCATTGAGGAGAAGCACATCCAGGATGCCCTGGCCTGGCTCGCTGGCAAGCAGAAGGAAAACGGCTGCTTCCGGAGCTCCGGGACGCTCCTGAACAATGCCATAAAGGTGACGTATCTGCCCAGCTGGC